TCTTCCATTGAAGTCTATGATCCATTTTGACTTAATTTTTGCTTCTGGTGTGAGGAAGGGGTCCAACTTCATCCTTTTGTATGTGGCTATCCAGAAGTCCTAGCACCATTTGTTGATAAGATACGCCAAGCGTTTTACACTGATTATCTCATTTACTCCCCATAAAATCCTATGAGTAGGTATTATTATTATTCTCTTTTTACTAATGAAGAAACCAAGTCTTAGAACAATTAAATAACTTGCCCATGGTCTCAAAAGTAATAAATGGAGGACCCTAGATTTAAACCCACATCCATCTGACACAGGGACTACACTATGCTTCATAAACTGTAGAGCACTGGAGCAGTGTTTTGTTGAAACCCTAAAAGGAATAAGCTTTGCAAAGGCGAATGTGTAAAGAGAGAAAATAGAGGGTGGACAGCCTGGCCTTGGGAAACACCTGCTTTATGGTTGGGAGACAGAAATGAAGATGGAGAAGAACTGGGTATGGGTGTGGATCCACGAGCGGGTCTCAGACTCGTGAATTTCACAGACGTGGTTTGCACAGGGCCACAACTGAGGTCCCGACCGTTTTGTCCATGTCATGTATGCAGCTCACACAAACAGTGGGTTAAGGCACCACCAACAGAGTTGTGGAAGAACACAAATATTTAATCTTGCTAAGAATATTTTTGAAAACCTACCTTTTTCTATCATTATCATTTTAAAAAATCATCAGTAATTACAGAAAAAGAACAGCTCTTCCCAAGAAGTGTGTATATTATACCAACACAGACACATACATTGTCATATACCACATATTAAATATTTCTTAAGCACTTATGTATGCCATGCAGGTACTGTTTTGTTGTTTCATTTGTTGTTTTTTCATTTCCCTGCTAAAATAGTCAAAACTTCATCACAGACTGGCGTCCGTAACTTGATCCACTTTGACAGCAGAAACTGCATATTTCTTCACTGGCACATAGCCCTCAATAAATGTTTTTCGAGTGAACCATAGACTGATTAAAAGAATGAATTAGCAACCCTGAGGACAAAGGGAGGAGAAAGTTAGAGTTAAGATATTCATACATAATATTCCTCAAACATTCCATAACCACTTGCATAGCAGTAGAACTAGTGAAATTGGGCTCCAGTGCACATTCTAATATTCTGCCTCCCTCCCTTTTTCTTATGGCTCCTGCAATTGACTCCAAGTGCTTCTCCTCTTTCCAGCAGGAGAGGAGATTGGTCTTTACAGTTCTTTGAAGCCAGGGATGATGTCTTTTCAGTTCTGCGTTTGTATGTCAAGCACATCGCATTGTGCACGGTATGTAGTAGGCACTCAATAAATGTAGAAGGAATGAATGACTACGTGCAAGTCAATGGGGGAGAGGAAGGCTGCCTTGGAGAGGGTAGAGAGACTTTTGAGGGAAAGGAGACTGTCCCCAGCCTTTCCCTGGGGCACACCACATACTCCAGTCCTGCAGGAGGCGGACCCTCTCCCTTCTGCCTCAGGCTGAGGTTCTGCACTAAGTCTTGCCTTAGATACCGTTGACAGGGTCGCAAGGCTTGTAATCTCCTGCCTCAGGTGATTTCATCACTACTTGAACAGAAAGCTTGTGCACTGAAGCTTTGGTAGCAGACTCGTTTTTCTCCTACTTTAAGACAGAAAATCCACCTTGTATTTTTACATCTGGAACTGATCAAGCATTTCCCCATAGGCAACCCAAACCCTTGACTGGGCCCCTTAAAGATAGGCATGTCCCGGGGCCAGCCCGGTGGCGCAAGCGGTTAAGTGCGCACGTTCCGCTGCGGCGGCCTGGGGTTCGCTGGTTCGGATCCTGGGTGTGCACCGACACACCGCTTGTTACGCCATGACACCGCTTGTTAGGCCATGCTGTGGCAGCGTCCCATATAAAGTGGAAGAAGATGGGCATAGATGTTAGCCCAGGGCCAGTCTTCCTCAGCAAAAAAAAAGAGGAGGATTGGCATTGGATGTTAGCTCAGGGCTGGTCCTCCTCACAAAAAAAAAAAGACAGGCATGTCCCTAAGATTTGCAGGGCCTGAGAAAGAGTACAAATGGAAGCCCATATGTCTAAAAATTTAAAAGTTACAAATCAAGCTAAGCAACTGTTAATAAATTATGCTAGATCCTCCTACTTTGACAAATACGTGTAAAGTTATGCCTTTAATATGACTGAAAATTGGCAAAATATCAAAGATGACTGAACTCAATTATTATTACAAAATTAGAATATATTATTATAACAACATAAATTCAACTTCAAAATAAAATAATTTTTTATGTTTTCAAGAGTTATTTTTTTAAAATATTCAAAATCATCCACAAAAGTTAAAGGGAAGAAATATAATTTATAATTAACAAATGTTAAAAAATTAGATTTCAAGTATTTAAAGTTGAAAATTTTTACTTGACTTTTTGAAAATGTAATGAAATCTTAAATATTTTTATAAAAAAGCTATTTGTTATTCTAGTATTCAATGTCTTAGAATCAGTAGCATATTTCACGTATGTTATGCCTAGACCTACATGTGTACACATCTAAGAGTAACATGAATTGTTTAATATTGCAAAATATCCCTCAGCCTCCGTGGGAACTACTGCAAATACTGCATTAATTTGGTAGTACCTCTGGAATCTTAGAAAAACGAGAAAATGGATACTTGGAACTACTGGGCAGTGGCATCTTGTTCTTCAAGACTCTACTGCGCTCAAGGCGTTTTAGTGGAGGGCTGTGACAGCGCACCTGTCTTTCCTGTTACTTAAGTACTTCCATTGTTCATATCCCACTGGCACTCTGCAGCGGTATCCATCCACACTGGCAGCGGCACAACCCACGATTTCCCAGCATTCGGATGTCGGTGCCTTTTGTTTCAGGGACACAGGGCAGGTGACCTGATGAAGCAGTTCCCTGGGGCCCGAACAGTGTTATTCACGAGAGGGGGTGTCCTAGTGCTGAGCGTGAGACCCGAGGAGCAGAGGAGTTGTGTGCTCTTGAATCCACTTCTGTTGTGTTTGTGATCTGCAGGCTCTCCTAAAGCTTGGCCTGGGAGCAGAGGCCACTTGGCCCAGCTCTCAGAGAAATACTGCTCTTAGGCATGAGGTGAGGTTACAGCTACAGCCTTTCGGACCAAAATCTCATTTACTGTGACGAACGTAGTGGGTGGGGGTGGAGGGCGGACCGATTTTCTTAGTTTGCAGACAAAAATAAGCTTTGCCTGCTGACTTGTGTAGCACAGTCATTTCAAGTGTTGCCCTATCTGCCAGTCTGGCTGCTACAATTCACACAATTGTAAAAGACAGACACAAAGTTTCTCATTCATTGGGTCACTTCATGGTATTTACTGAGCACCATTTTCTAGGTGCTTTTCTGGGTTCAGAGAGTAAAGAACTGAATGACACTGTGAAGACCTCACACGGTAGAGGAGACAGACTTGAACATGAATAATGGTGATACCGTGAGGTGGGTACTTACAGGTGTGTTTAAAGTGCTGCAGGAGCACAGATGGAAAAGCGGCTGTCACGTCAGTGTGCGCTGGCCTACAGAAGGCTTCCGAGGAGATGGCGGAGGAATACTAGCTTCCACTGGATGCCAACTGAATGCCTGCCATGTCCCAGGCTCTCTTCATATACTGTCACTTTTACTTCCCCCAATAACTTACAGAGGTAGTCATTTATGTCCATTTTACAGCTGAGAAAACTGAGGGTCAGAAAGGCTAAGTAACTTGCTCACTGTCACACAGCCAGTAAGTGATGGTGCTGGAGCTGCAACTCCTAGATCTGCCTAACTCCACAGTGGGTGGACTTTCCACTGTGTCCTGATATTTGCAAAGTCTTGAAAGATGTGTAGCAATTTACCTGAGTGGAACAGGCGATAAGGAGCACCCAGGCAAAAGCAATAGCATTTGTTATTCAAGTTCTGAGGTATAAACTAAAATTATAAAGCAAAGCAGGTTGGAGTATCCTTAAAGATGAAATCATAAGCAATGTAGTTACAACCATTTGACTGACTTGAGCAAGGTCCTGTGCAAATCCCTTTGCCTGGTTGATTTATAATAATTTCTGACAGCCCCCATCAAGTTCTTGGTAACTTTTACATTCTCTCCATTCAGGCACAACATTCTGCTCCTTCATAAGTGTTCTCGTGTGTGTGTGTGGGGCTTGGGGGGGGCGTGAGGCAGGGGCGGGGAGATTCTCTAGTGGGTGTTCCTAGTAACCTCTTTGTGGATTTGTTTTTCTGAGCCGATTGAATCTTGAAGTTCATTTTCCAGACATTCCCCAGCAAGCAGTTTGAGGCGTGCCCCCACGTCCCGTCTTTGGCCCTGTCCTGGGGGTTATGTGGGTTACAGGGATTCTCCGCCACAGAATCATTAGCGCGGATCTGGTTTGAGGTCAGTAAACACAAACCATCCAAGAAACACAAAACAACCTAATATACCTTTCCCCACTCCCTCTCCCAAGTTCTACCCACGCAAGTTTTTGCTCAAATTATACCTCTCGATGCATTTCCAGTTGGAATTACGGTAGTGTATTTCTTTTAACGTTTCCACAAAGGTTGTTATATATTCAACTTGTTGCAGTTGGCCTCAAGTGACTTTTTAAAAATTGTTTCCAGTGTAACTACAGTCAGAACGTGGACTAACCCCAGCATTTGTTTACAAGTCTGCATCCACCCTGCGGTAGGGAGTGTCTTTGTTTCCGCAGCGCCTTGCACGCGGTAGGTGCGCAGCGCTTGTTGACCGAACCAGCGAGGGCCCCGGGAGGGCGGCCCCAGGCGGGCGGGGAACGCGGCACCGGACGCAGAACCGATGTTTAGCAACGCTCGGTGGACCTTATTCCCAACTCTTCCCGCCGGGCCCGCCTCCCTCCACCCAACAGGCCCGTACCGGCGGGCGGGGCGACGGCGGGCGCCTGCGCGGGCCGCGGCCAGGTGGGCAGGTACCTGGGCGGGGCGCGCGGTGGTTGGCGGCGGCCGAGGGGCGGCGGCGGCGGGCGGAGCGCCCGGAAGAGCCGTCCGTGCAGCCGGCGCAACAGGCGGCGGAGGGGGCGCGGGCCGGCGCGCAGCAGGCCCGGGATGGACAAGCTGAAGAAGGTGCTGAGCGGGCAGGACACCGAGGACCGCGGCGGCCTGTCCGAGGTGAGTGCGCCCCCCGCCCGGCCGCCCCGCGCCCCCGCCCGGCCTCGCTGGAGGTGGCGGCGCCGGCTCCCGCGGGGGACACGGCCCCGTGGCCCCGTGCGTGGAGGCGGGAGCGCCGAGCGGGACTTCCAGGATTTCTAGGAAAGCCGCGCCGCCCCTTCTCCTTGGCCTCCCCCCCGGGGGCCGCGAGGAGCCCGCGCCCCCCTCCCCACCCCCCGGGGGCCGCGGCCCGGCACTTTGCTGTGTTTACTTTCTGTCTGGCGCCGGTTCAGCCTGCCCCGGCCCCCCGCAAAGCCGGGCCGGCGCTGTAGCAGAACCCCAGAAATGTCTGCGAGGGGGAGGGCGCCACCCCAGGCCGCCGGCCCCTCCCAGCAGCCCGGGGACAGGCTCTAGGGCCGGGCTGGGCGAGGGCCCCTCGTTGAGGAGAGCCAGGGTCCGGGTGACGGTCCGCGGCTCTCCTTGCTGGCGGCCCCCGCGCGGCGGGGCTGGTGGCCGCCCGGGGCTCCGTGCTGCGCTCCTGCCGGGTTTAGGTTGTGGGGTGTGACCCTCCCACCCGACCTCGTGCACAACGCCTTGTAAATTCTCTCCATCTCGAAACTGTGAACTCCTTGAGGACGGGGGCCACAGCTTGTTCTCTGTGCCCACGCTGTGTGCACGTGGACTCTGGATACCTGGGACCTCTGGAGACTGCATGTTTGACTGTTTTTAGAAAGGTTTTGGTCGAGCTGAAATCTGGGCGCTAATGTTCGAGCCACGCAGAATGTTTATTTCAATTTTGTGTGCTTTTAGCTTTTGCTTTCCTTTCTGGATGACGAAATAACATTTCTGTTTACTTTTTGGTGTATTCCATGGGTCTCAGTTTCCCCATCTGGAAAATGAGGGTGTTGAACAAGATGATATGGCTTCTTTCAACTTGAAACATAAGTTCTTCCCCTAACTTGAGTCAGTGTCTCTCCTGCTTTTCTCAGCGTGCTTTTCATCCATTTTTGTGCTTGCTGACTTGATTCTCAGTTCTGTGTGATACTGGAGGCTTCACCCCCTCCGTGAAATCTCGGAACTGTAAAACTTGCTCTCTGAATCTTCACCTTGAAGAAGTAATACAGTGTGAATCAACTGTTACAGGAATTGGGGTTTAACTTTTTTTTTTTTTACATTTCAAAACAGCTCTGTGGGTTCTTTTTAATTTGTTGCCTTTATTAATTGGTCAAGGCTCGGGAGTAATTTCATGAGTTTTTTGTTCTTGCTTTCTGGCCTCTGTTGTGAACTCTCAAGTCAGACCTTAGAAAACTTAGGTAGTTGACAGTCATGCTTCTCTCAAGCTTTATGCCCTACAGATTGTCAACAAGCCTTTATGAGCGGCCAGGGCTCAAGGGAGACCCCTTTTCTCTTCCTGAAGACTCTTGAGGAGAGGCGTGTTGACAGGGATGTGATACAGATATTATCTATTTAGAAAATAATTATGAAGCAGGAGACAGACTTCTGGAGGGAATGGTGGAGTACAGACTGAAAGCGTAAATGCTGAGTTTGTTTTTACCCAAAATGGTGAATGCCTGTGTTGGGCACAATGAAGGGCTTTAAACTATTGTCCGCTCAGGCGTGTGTTAAATCTATTTTAAAAAGAGTAGATGCTTCTCTCTTGTTCTGAAACTTTCTGTCGGTTTCTCTTTCTGAGTGTAAGTTTCCTCTTCTGTACATGGTTGAACGGACTTCGGAGGCCCCAACTCTCGAGAAGCATTGTGTAGCCAGCTGCGTTCATTTTCAGGGTTGGTTTTGGCTTAGTTTTTACTTATTAGGTCAAGGCCTCCTTTAAAATGTTGGGGCCGACTTGATTGTCTCATTTCCCGTGGTGTTGGGGCTGGCAGAGCTGGAGGATTCTGTTGTGAAATTTCGGTTTTGTGTGGAAAGTTGGAGTAGGTGGCCTCCAAGTCTCTTCGAATTCAATTACATAAGGTGTCAGAGGTCACCAGAATTGAGTGATTTTAGAAATTTTTATTCTTTTAATGCAAACAGTACAAGTATGACTAGTTCTGTTTGTCCTACTTATGAAACTTTGCAATTATAAAAATTCTTTGGCAGTGTCTAATCACAGGTAGCCTCATGGTAGGTTTTCTAATTGATGCCCCATCCTCCTAAATACACCTTCAGACTTGAGTTTCAATGGTGTGTCTCTGAAAGGATAGGTTTTATGTTTTCTCTCAAGGATTCCAGGGATGTGAATGGTGCTGGTTGGAAAGCACCAGTATTTGTGCAGTATTCCTTTCTCACCTTCTTCTGGTTACCAGCCCTATAACCTGAACAATTCTTAGCTTTACTTCTCTTTGGCAAAAGCCCCTCTTCTTTCCACATCCCAGAGTCAAAGGGAACTTTGTGCATAACTGCCAATCAGCCAGCTTGTGAGAGATTGCCTACAAATTCTATCCAGGTACTGTTTTAGCCACTCTAATTTCCAAAAAGTGCACTAGCAACCATGGTTGCATTTAGCAACCATGAATTTAGAGAGACATTTTACATCCACTGAGTTTATTTTCATAAATTGGCAAAAAGAATCGTTCAGCTTTCACTGAGTGCAGTTAGGAGCAGTGGCATGACAGCTTCCTCCTGCCTGTGACCAAGCGTGCATGTAAGAAATTGCGGCCACATAGAGTGGAAAAACCCCAGTGGTGAGAAGTTGTCTACCCTGCCCCCATTTTGGCAAATAGGGTGACATTTGGATGGGGTTCAGCTTGAGAGACCTGTAGGACCAACAGGTCATTTTCCTTTCTGAAGGTAGAAACCAGAACTGCTTCCTGTTGCCAGGTGTTAGTGATTTTTACGAGGGCTGGAATCTCAGGCTCCTGTTGAGACTATTTGGTACTCTAAGTGTCAAGGCCAATTCAAATTTGATACTTAACATTATGGCTTATCCTCTTTGAAAAAAAAAGGTTGACTCTTTAAAAATATCAATGTTGAGGCAGTTAGTGCTCAGGGGACGAGTCCCATCCAATCCTGCCACCACCCTTTTCTCCCTACACGTGGCTCGGTTCTTCTTTCCACCTTGGCAGGTGAGTTCTCTGGTTCTTGCATGGGCAGGAAGAGTGGTGGCTTTTGATTTTATTCTGTCCTTGGTGGGAGGCTGAACAGGTTAGTTAGAAGGGGTCTAACCGGGTTGTCTGGGGTGCCTGTCAGAGCATCACACGGCTCATTGTGGAGGAGAGGTTTTCCTTGTATGGAACAGGATCCTAACACCCCACTCCTGCTGCATGTTACCATCTCTGAGCATGCCTTTCCGTTCAGGGTCATATGTTGCTACATGTTCCTGCAGGTGCTGTGTGTGTGTGTGTGTGGGGGGGCGGGTTGCAGTGTCACGAGCCCACTTTCAATATGTGTGACTATCTGGGGTAAAAGGAGAGCCCCTTTTGATACCCTGCCCTACATACCTTTCTTCTGAGTGGAGAGAAGCCATTCTGGAGCAATGCCTGCCACACCCCGGGGAGCCTCTGGTGCTTTTTTCAAGCTTCTGGTTTGACAGGAAGTTTGAAGACAGAGTTAAAAACAGATCCCTGAGCTGGGAGCAGTCAAGGCTGAGGGAGTGGCTGTTCTAGTGACCCTTGCAGCCTCTGCCACCACCTGCCTTCCTCCATCAGCCGGGTGGCAGTGTGGTCGGCAACTTTCACCACGTTGCCAGATGGAGACTGTGCTGGCCACACGAGGTAGACCCTATGCAAATGTATACTGGGCCTGGCTGGCCGGGAGGCAAGGCCTGTGGTTGCAGTGGCAGCTGCCTGTGCCTGACTTAGAGCAGCTGTGGCCACTTGCGTGAGGTGGACGGACCGGGAAGGTCTCTGGTGCAGGCAGTCGGCTGTCATCTTTGACATGAGGAATAAAAATTCTGGGGAGCTGCTCACAGTCTCCACTGTTTGAGCAGTATTCCTGGAAATCTTGGCCTCCCCTGAACTTTGTTGCTCCAGGGAAGGATTAATTGTGGTGGCAGAGTGAGGATGAGTAGGGCAGTAATTAATTAACTCAGATCTGTCTCACACTTGGGTGACCTGGCTGATGCCAGCACCCCGCAGAGCAGTATCTGCACCAAGAGCGAATAACCCGGCTGAGAGTCCTGATAAGGGTGAGGGAGGACCTCAGCCCTCCGAGGTCCCAGAGATGCCGGCAGGAGCAGCAACTGCTGAAGCTCGGCTGGTGGGTGATGCCCAGTGGACCCAGCTGCCTGAGTACCGTCCGCTCTTTTCTCCCTCCCTTGGGCCCCGGCCTGGCGGAGCTCGTGCCTCTCCAGTGTTGTTCCTCGTCCCGCCTGGGCTGCGGTAAGGGCGCGGGCTACTCTCCGGTCTCCCTGTTTGTGAAACGGATTGTGCTTGAGGCAGAGTCCCCGCCTCTGGAGATGCCCAACCCGAGGCTCAGGAACCTCTTACCAGCTGCTGGAGGAGATTCACGGATGGATAAGGCGCTGGATTCCATGGCTCAGGAGGGCCCTTGTAGCTATGAGCGAGGATTCTGTGTTCCTGCCTTCCTCACTACAAATTCACACAGTGCTTCTACATTTAATTACGTGCTTCCTTTGTTTTTGGCTATTAAATATGCATATACCTGTATGTAATCAGTTTTTTAAAATTTCAGGTTGTTGAGGCATCTTCGTTAAGCTGGGATACCAGAATAAAAGGCTTCATTGCCTGTTTTGCTATAGGAATTCTCTGCTCGCTGCTGGTGAGACATCCCTCCCCTCCTCTGTCGTCCCGCCCTCCTTCCCTCTGTCTTCCTCCTTTCTTCTACCTCCTTTTCTCTTTTGTTCTTCTCAGAAATGAAATGGATGATGAGAGGAGAGGGAGGAAGGGAGGCGGGGAGGGAGCGGAGGAGGGCGGGGAGGGGAGCAGGCTCCTCTGTGCTGCTGGTGGAGGCTGTGGTGGGGGGGGCGGTCTTCTCATGCAAACACCTGTGCTTCATCTTCCAGGGTACTTTTCTGCTCTGGGTGCCGAGGAAGGGCCTATACCTCTTCGCAGTGTTCTATACTTTTGGTAACATCGCATCAATTGGGAGGTAACAGTTTTTTTTATTTAACCTTAGCTGGTTATTAGATGGGAAAATGGATGTGGATTGTGCTTGAGGGAGGTGAAGGAGGATGCTTCACGAGTTTTGAAGATTTGGAGAGAAAAGCTGTCGTTAAATACATCTCGTCCAGATCCTATCACTTTAAAATATTTTTATATCTTAGTTTATCTTTGAAATACCCTGGGGAGAAAGCAGGACATATGGTACTGTTGAGATTTTACATACGAGGGAGCCGTGGCCCAGAGCTCTTGAATGGTTTCTTCAAGGTTTACAACATGACCCTCCCATTGCTCTCGTCTTACTGCTGCCAGGGACTGAGTCCATGATTTCAAAAGGGCTACAGGTGAAACTTGTTATTATTCTGTCTAAGAACATCTCAGGCCTGAGTCTTGGCTCCTGGGGGCAGGGTGTCTGATGGAGGGCTTCCGGCTGTGGACAGCCCTTTCCAGGTGCTGCGGGTGCGGAGACATCCGGGTCAGGCTCCTTCACTCTGCTGCTTCAGCCACACCTGTGTGCTGACAACCCCAGGCCTGCCTCCAACCGGGAGTGCCGGCCTTACTTCCACCTGAATGGCCCGCCGGGACCTGAGCTCAGCCATCTTTTCTCCCCCGTCCCCTCCCCTGGTGTCTCAGTGAATGTCCTGAGATGTCCAGGCCCCCCTTAATTACTCACCAGGGCTTGGTGTTGGCCTCTTACTGCTCTGTCCTCTCTGTCTCCATGGCTGTTGTCCCTCATGCATTGACTCACGTGCCCCACGAGTAAGCCCTGTTCACATCCTGTGCTGGGTTCTGAGGATTCAGAGACAAGTGTGGTGTGGTTCCTGCCTCAGTGGAGCTCACTGGTCGGCCAGGCAGACAGACGTATAAACTGATAACATAATATGATGTGGAGAGAGAGATGCTCAGGAAGGGGCAGCTGACCCGATCTGATCCGACCTGGGGACCAGGGAGGGCTTCCTAGAGGAGGTGGTATCTGAGCTGCTCTTAGCTCTGGCCCTATCACTTCTCGTCTGAACTACTGCAGGAGTCCTCTGCTGGGCTTCGCTGCCCCCTTTATTGTCCCTCCCAGGCCATTTCCCACAGAGCTGTAGCACCGTTCATTTTCAGCCCTTCTTAATCCCCGTTGTGGCTCCCCATTCCCTCTCTACAGGTGAAGTCCAGACCCCTCAGCGTGTATACAGGTGAGGCCCTTGAGGTCTGCCCTTACCCACTCCAACTCCCCACCCAGTGCGCTCCCCCGCCAGGCTCAGCCTCCTGCATTTCCCCAGACACCTTTGTGCCTTTGATGGGGCTCTGTTCTCTGCCTGGAGTGCTGCCCTCTCTGAACCTCCCTCTCCGTGCCCCCCACCCCGCGTTTAGTGGATATTTGCTCATTTGTCAAGGCTCAAAAGTCATCTCTCCTTTGAAACTTCTCCTAAGTACCTTTTTCCCTCCAGAATCAGTGACCTCCTCATTTATATGGGGCTCTGTATAGCCCGTATATATCTGTGTGACAGCACAGGTAGCATTTTATTACACTGACTTGTTACAAGTCTGTAAGCCACTTGACAAGGGCTGCACCTCTGTCTTACTTGTCCCTAATTGTCCCCAAACCTAGCTTTGTTTCTGGCTGGAAATGTTAACCAAATGATTGAGTACATGACTCTGGCCACCTTCTTAGTGCTTAGTTTATTGATGCTTGTGATAGTGCAATGATCGCCCTCGGAGATGTCTAATCTTGCCTCTAAAGCTCTCTCAAATACTAACTTTAGGGGAGTTTTGCTTTGGGCAGACAGTATGGGTTATAATGTAGAGTCTAGACTGAGCATAAATCTGTGGGTGTGTTGGTTAGTCCAGAAGAACCATTTAGCAAATCCTAATGAGACCGGCTTTGCAGCATTGCCTAGGGAAATAATAAAGGGAGCAAGTTGTTATTTCCAGAGTGTGTCTAGGAGTTTGTGGCTTTACCTATAATCTGTTATATTTTTGTATATATTCTGCATTTAATGTTTAAGGCCAGCCTTGGCTATTGCTTCTTGTTCAGTGTAGGCTAAAGAGTGCACTCAGCTCAAACACTTGACCTGAGTGTGCAGCCTCAAATTCAAGTTGAAACTTAATGGCACTTCAAAGAGAGGTAGATTTATTTAAAATTTTTTTTATTGAACACTCAGTAGCTACTGTCATCTGCCAGTTGGCTTGTATTAAACACAAGCTATATAACAAGCTACCCCTGGGGTGATGCCACATGGAGCACTTCTGTCAGGGGCTGGGAAACATGATGCAGAGCTGCCTGGCGCCTGATGCGTTAGGCGTGCAGGTCTGCTTCATTCGTGTTCGCCCTCTCACCAGCCACCTCCCAAGTTCCATTCATACGAAGGCACGCTAGGGATGTCTGTCTGAGCTTTGGGATCCAATAAATGTGGGTTTGAATGCCAGCTCTTTAAGTTCCTGGCTGTGTGATCTTGGATAAATAAATTTTATCTTTCTGAGCTTCATTTTCTCATCTCTGAAATAGGTGTAATGATACCTAACTCACAGAGTTGTTGAAGGGGTGACATGAGATCATGGATGTGATATCTGGCCGTTTAGCAAACATTGAACAAATAATAGATGATATTATCCTCATTAGAATTATTCCCTGGGGATTATGAAAGAAAATGATTTGCTTTACTTTTTAACATAACCTAAGCCTGTAAGATGCGGTTTTTCTTTTTTAAATTACCTGAGTCTTTTGGTTTGTCTGTTTGTTTCCATGGGTAGATTGTTGAGGAGGAAGGTAGCACCTTGAAGAGAGGGGGTCCTCTCTAACCTAGTGGTTGTGAATGTGGTTCCAGAGTCAGACCTACATGCATTTGCAGCCTAGCTCTACCGTCTGCTAGATGGATGGCCTTGGATAAGTAACAGGTCCTTCTGGGCTTCAGTTTCTTCATCTGTAAGACAAGTTTGATAATTGTTCCTGTGATCAACCCCATCCATCAATTGTTGATGGATTAAATGAGAATAATGCACAGAAGGCACTTAGCACAGTGCCCAGCACGGAGCAAGAGCTTTTCGAACGTTATCTCTGTCACTGCTATTTTGCTGCAGGTAATTTGGGGAGGCGGTGGGGAGGAACCTGGTGTGCCCAGTGTGGTTCTGTCCTGGTCTGAATGGTTTGTGTATCTTGCCTCTCAGCACTGTCTTCCTCATGGGACCGATGAAACAGCTGAAGCGAATGTTTGAGCCGACGCGTTTGATTGCAACTATCATGGTGCTGGTAAGGTCTACCTTTTCGCTGGACTGCTAAAATGGAGTTTTTATTTCTGCTGTATGGAATTTTTTTCCTCTTAAACCTAAAGACCTCTTTCCTTTTGTCTTGACTTATTACCTGAGCCTGTAACCACTGTGGCAGAAGGGAACATTCTTCAATTAATAATTACCCCCCTTAGTATTTCAGCTGGTGTTGAGGGTCTGCCAGTTCTATAAAGCACCTCCAGAGGGCGGCACTTGTCAAATTCGCCAAACTGGTACGGTAGTAAGAAAGCTCAGACACCCTCCTGGTGGTGATGGGTGAAGGCGCACACAGGCAGAGCTCAGAGGGAATGATTCGGAAATACAAGATCATTCTCTAGAGTGGGTGTCCAGTCTCCCAGGGTGGGCTCTTTTCCTTTCCTCATTGTCTGACTTTGGGGTCGTAGTTGTTTTCCTGAAGTGGGTCTGGTCTTCTTGTGGCCCATCAGCCCTGCACCCTGCTCTGACAGCAGTGCCTTTAGTCTTGTCGTATCTTCCTGTCTCGTTAACCCAGGATGCCTCTCCCTTCTTTGGGCCATTTTCTTCCATGTGACCATCAGAATCATTCCAGACCACGTTCTGTGGCCTTCTATTATAATTATCAGTAGACGACATTTGGAACTTGGTCAACATACTTTTATTTTTAGTTTCATTTGTGTACCTCTTATTCACATAGGTAAGTCCTCTAAGGCCATGACCATGTTTGCTAGTGGTGTCTTTTCAGAGCATTGAGCACAGTGCTGGACCAAAGATAATATTTAGGACCTGTTTCTTGGGTGGTTACTGTTATAGAAGGACAGAAATGACAGGCATGACGGACAGCTGGAGTTCTAATTGTTCTTAGCTAGCACCAGATGTAGATGGCCTGGCCAAGTCTCTTGTAGAAAGAACTTTCTAAGAGAGGACTTAGGGCAAGTGTTAGGTGACATGGAAACAAATAACAGACCCGCTGGCCGTGAAATTGACCTCTCCTGTTAACCCTTGTCCTCGCATGCCCTTTCTACTCCGGAGACTAGTGTGTGGCAGGAGTTAAAATGCAGAGGTGTGTGTTAAACCTACTTTAGTATATTTGAATGAAAAGATGGATGGATGAGTGCATGGACCAGAAATGTGATTTTGTTTGCGGGGCAGAGATTTTGGAAAAATTTGAAAGTAGGAGAGGATTCTTCTCTTTTTAATCTACATGAGTCATTATTGTCTAGGTTAATTTCATTGGGATTTTTGACTCTTCTGCCAAACATGGGGGCGCAGATGGGTTAAATGCTTTGAAATGAAGGATGCGTTTGGTCGCTGTGGTAATGACAGAATCTGATTACTGCAGCTCAATGGGTATTGTCGTAAGTTTGCCGAGAATAAGTCTTTACAGTTTTTTTTTCCCATGTTGTCATTGCATTCATTAAATAATGTTTCCTTTCTCTCTCTAGTTGTGTTTTGCACTTACCCTGTGTTCTGCCTTTTGGGTAAGTTTGTGTTTTAATTTCCCTTAACCTTTTTGGTGTGTGCTTCCTGTCCCGCAGTGATGTAACCATGTCATTTTTCTCTCAGTGGCATAAAAAGGGACTTGCTCTCATCTTCTGCATTTTGCAGTCTTTGGCCCTGACGTGGTAAGTAACCTTTTAAACAGTCCCCTCCCACACGGATCTCTGACTCAGGCAGCTGAAGGAGATAAAATTCCACATGGTGTGGGAAGGAGGAGTAGGAAAACATAGAAGCTTTTCAACTTAGGCATTCTCAATGATGCAGGTGACGTCAGACGCCAGAGCAGAGCCTGTCGACTCGGCCCGCTGCCCGTAGATGGCGTTAGTGGTCTTGAGTGGTCTTGGCAGGCTGGCTGTTTGCCTGCTGCAGCATTTTTGCTGGGCTCATGGTTGATTTTGAGATGTTACAGATGTTATTAAACCACCCGCGTCCAGTAAGAGCAAGGACAATGAAGTCTTATAGAGGCTGGTAAAAAGAGGCTTATGAGTCAAGTAGACATTAAAGAAAAAGGAAAGTGGTAAGAAAAATAATGAGCGTTTCATTTGGGATGGAATGAATCATTTCACAGAAGGACAAAGAGTGAATTGTCAGCAGGAGACGAGGAACAGTGACTGACGAAATGGAAAACCACGTGGCTGTGGGCCGTAGGATCAGCATGTGCAGTGGAGGCCTGTTATTGAGACTGGGGATTGTGACTGAAGGGCCACACACAGTGAGAGGACTCCTGGAGACATTATTATTCAGAACCATGGATGGGGCTGGAGGTTCACGGCCCTTTCGAACCTGTCTAGCCTCAAAGTGAGAGGGGCGGTGGCATGTATGGAATCTGTAGCTTCTGAGACGTTCTGTAATACTTTCAGTTTGTCAAGGGATGGTATCTGCCAGAACAGTTTCAGGAGAGATGCGACTGATCTACTTTGGAAAGAAGTGTTTGCTCTAATGCAAAGAAAAGAGGATTGTGAAAGTTTTAAAGCTTCCAAGGATCATTTATACTCCTATTTGGTAGAAAAAGATCTTGAGACTACAAGCTTAACACCCATCCCTCCTGTTAGTAATTTGGACTTTTGGATAAATGCCTATTGGCATTTACTGTGTTCACAAGTAAATGAGTGTGTGTGTGGTCAGTGTAAGATAGGAGAAGAATGATGGCCTGATTTTAGTGTGACACACACGTTGTGGTAGTGGGTCCTGAAAGGGCCTGGTTTGATGGCTTATGTTTATATTTTGGTTTTCTTCTGGGGGCAGAAATTAGTACCCACATACGTGTGCCTTTCTTTGCTTATAGACTGCTTTTGAAGCCAGTGTCAGAGATTCAGCATTCACATGGGCTCAGGCAAATGGCGATGTCCCTCCAACACTGATGTATTCCGACTATGCTTTCTGGAGGGCTGACCAGCTTACAGCCTGCCTGACACACCAGGCCTGGTCCTTTAGTTGTGGACGGCGTCCTCCCTGCGTGGTGCCCTTCTGGGCAAGAGGGCTGAGCTAACTGGGATCACTAAGAGATCTTCCGGGCTTTGGTTCTTGAAGAAACGTGGGTTGCTTATATTTTCATTCACAGAATAGTTGGTAGTGGTTTTTTTTTTTTTCCTTTACCTGTTCTCTTTTCTCTCCTTTTAAAATTAATAGGAGCAGAATAGAAAATTTATCCCAATTGGGTAGAAGTATATTCTGCTGAGGATTTGTGAAATATTAGAGGACAGCTGATCTGGATTTTATTCAGTATTCCGAACAGGGCTTCTATGCCATCTGGAATCTGCCTATTTTAGGTGGTCCTGCTGGCTCATTTGGTTAAAGCAGTAAACTCGTGAGGCTGAGGTGACAGGGTTGTCTCCACATGGGCCTTATGCCCTCCTCCTTTGGCCACAGATGACACTCCCCTCCCCGGTTATATATGTGGCACAGTGTGTGTGTGTGTGCGTGTATGCCCGTGGGGCTGTGCACGTGGGGGTGTGCCCGTGTGTGTGCGCACCCTCCACACTGAGGAGGGGGAGGGTCTGGATAGGTCACTGGAGGTGCTCTTGGGCAGAAGCCCATTCCACTGAGATCTCCCCCTCCCTTCGTTTGATTTCATCTTTTGTTCTGTTTGTTTTTTGTTGTAGGTATAGCCTTTCCTTCATACCATTTGCAAGGTAAGACTAACTATATTTAGGACTATAACTTCTGTCATTTGGGGATGGTGATATGTTTGCATAGGGCCTTTTAGTATAGAGTGCTTTCAGAGAGTACATACTGTTGTATCTTTACTAAAATCCTTTGGGAAAAACAGGCAGATGTTATATACCTGTTGTATACATTAGTAAGCTAAAGGTCACCCCCCGACCCCCATTATACAACAATGGGCATGGACCCTAGTCCACTGATTCCTGATGCCATGAGCATTCTGCTGTCATATATAGTGCATATATGCACATTACCACTCTTAACATGTAGCTTTGAGGAGATTTTTCTTAAAGGTGAATATCACTGAGCAAGAGATGGAGGGATCTAAGTTTATTCTTGTTTTCTTGTAGTACCCCATTGATGGGAATGTTTCAGATAAGAGTTTATAAAGGGAAAGTAAGCAGGGCCAGGTCTCTGGAGGACCAGGGTTTCCTAATTAGCAGTGTGACCTTACACAACTCACTTGACCCCTCTGGCCTCAGAGGACTCACTGATAACAAGAGTGGGTTGGACTAGAGCACCCCAGAGCCCCTTCCTGCTCTGAGGTTCTGGTGCTCCAAGCCTCCTTATGTGAGCACTTCAGCGATGGGCCTCTCAAAACGAGCCACGTGGTCTTTGCCTCTGACTCTGTTCCAATGTAACCGTTTAATTTCTTTTCTTCTCTGTCGTTACTTGCTAACTAAAAACAAGCTTTTCTTTAACGGTGTGGAGGAAATGAGAAATGGTGTGAGCTGGGAAGGAGGAAGGGCAGGCTCTGTCTGACGCATTCCAAGTCTGTTGCTGATGTCATTTGAAGGTGCTGGGGAGTGGTTCATTGCACGAGGAGTTGTCCAGCCCATCAACTTAAAGGCAGCTGGGTGGCTTTGTGAATAGGTTCTAGGAGGATAATAGTTATGAAATACTCCACGCTGACCCGGCCAGTTGTAGGAGATGGTGGCTTGTCTCAGAAGAGTATGGGCAAAGATGTTCTGGGAAACTAGGTTTTTCTGTGAAATAAGCTGGAGACCTTCATTCTTGAGCATCCAAGGAGATAGTTATCAACCTGCCAGCAATTTGCATATATCTTAGTGCCAGGACCAGCTACGTAATTTGCAGGGTCCAGTGCAAAATGTAAATGTGAGCTCCTTGTTAAAAAATGACTGAGAATTTCAAGATGGCAACAGCAGAGCGTTAGACCGAATGTGGACCCTCTGAAGTCTGGGGCTCAGTGCAGCTGCCTACGTCTCTTACCGAGGCCGGCTTCAGGCTTCTGCAGGCTTCAGACTTGATCTGGACTGGGATTTATAGTCTTATGTACAAGTGGTGGGGAGAATGATAGAATGCTATTGGAAGAAGTGAGTTTCATGTGCTCATGATGAAAATGTTTTATAGTAGGGAAAGAATCACAAAAGTAGGCCCTACCCTTCTCTTTGTAGCTTCCCCTTGAATAGCCTTTCCCACAGTGCTCTGCAGAAATAGTGTTTATGTGGAAGAAAAGGGTTCTGTGATCAAATAAGTCTGAGAAAGAGATAAAGCAAAATTAGATAGCTTCCTTGTTACCCAGATTTTCAGATCCTTTGATATGTTATGTGTCTTGTGAGCGGCGATGAGGGATCTTATTTGGCCTTGAAGCCCTTTCTTGTGCAGAGTGTCTCCTGGGACTGCAGTGCAGAGTGTATCTTAAATGCTGTCCTAGAATTATCTTGATGTTAAAACGCAGTGTCCGCTCATGCAAATGCATTAACCTCTCCCTCTGTGACTTGAAGTGTCCTTGGTACAAGTGCAGCTGAGAACACAGGAGGAATAGAGCTGAGGTGAGAAGCCCTAGTACACAGCCACCTGTGTGGTGGAGGTGCAGGTGCCTGGTGGAGGTGGAGGTGCCTGCTTGAATAGAATAGTAATTTCTTGAGCACTCACTCTTTTCTGGCGCTCTCTACGCTAAATTCCAAGGAGTGAGTCCCTGGGATAGGGTTAAGATAGCAGGTTAATGAGTGCACAGTACCTGTAGAGAGCTCCCCTGTGCTAGGGAATTCCGGAGAGATGTCCCTTAACAAGCGTCTGCCGCTTACTGAGCATGAAGAAGGGCCGTCATGAGTATTTACTTAATGCTTTCAGTGCATTCTGTGATTCTAGTTGATATTAAAGTGGTGCACAGTCCTGTCTAATTTCTTGGTTTCTGATAGTCTCTGCCTTCTTACTATCTTTTCCTCTGATTATTGTGATAGCTGTCATTTATCAAACAATAATATACGCTGTTCACTGCGCTCATTCCCACAGCCGGTCTATAGGGTAAGTGGCAATGTCCCCTTTTACAGATGAGGAATTTGAAACTCAAATAGGGCAAATCACTTGCCCAGGGTAATACTGTGGATAGCTGTGGGAGCTGAGGTTTGGTGCCAAGTGGATCTGGCCCCACAATCTAGGTGCTTTCTGCTCAGCAGTGTGTTACTCTGGGTGCCCAGGAAGTCTAGAGGAGGGTCTTTACCACTTACCTTTCCTTTGCGTGATGATCTCCCGTTTATCTTTGTGTTTTTTCCTTCCTAGGGACGCTGTGAAGAAGTGTTTTGCTGTGTGTCTTGCATAACACCCGGCCAGTGTTGGAAAGCTTTGGAAGGCACTGTGGACGGAAGCTGGTGGGCAGTTTTGTAAATACCTTCTAAACCTGGCTTACAGGCGTGTGCCTTGTATCTTGCAGCAGTGTGTTGCTTGCAGTCCAAACATTTGAGAGTTCCTTTTGGAGGCAGCCAAATGTGTGTAGTATAGTATGAGAGGTGGGTTCTGTATCCTGTTTTTTTTTTTTTTTTTT